CATCCATAGAAAATGACATAAAGCTACTTTCAAGGACAACCAGAAGACTGAAAAGATAGATAGATAGATGATTGATAGATGATAGAGAAGATAGATGATTGATAGATTAGATAGATAGATAGATAGATGATTGATTGATTGATAGATGATAGATAGATAGATGATTGATTGATTGATACATGATAGATTGATAGATGATTGATTGATAGATAGATAGATAGATAGATAGATGATAGATGATAAAGTGACACTGAGGAGGTTGACTGTAACAGACAAGGCTGCCTAGAGCCTGCACATGCATTTCCTCTGCTGGAAACTGTCACTGCCAAATCTCAAGGCAAAAGGTTTTCCCTGTGCTTAAATACCTATTTCAGTAGCAAATACATTTGCCTAAGTATAATTTCTACCTTATTCCCTCTACAAGAATGCTATATGTTTACTTACTTTCATATTTATTCTCTCTATACTTAATATATATTATATTAGCATAAAATTGCTTTAAAATTCAGACTACTCATTCTCTAGCTTGCCAGTTAAGGCAGTTCCAGTATCAGAACTGATACCTGAATAGTTTTTTTTATTTACACGAATATTTAAAATAATGCAGAAGGAATTATATTTTGACACATCAGCCACAAATACAACAAATACTCTAATGTATGTACTTATCCGACACAAATTTATCACTTGAAGCAGTGTTGGTTTAAACTGAAGTCAAATGACAACTTCTACTGTTACTGTACTTCATTTCCAGTGGTTCCAGTGAACCACTACAGAATCCAAACACTGTCAGAGGATCTATAGTATCTGAAATAACTAGTGCATCTGGCAAATGTTCCATGATCAGTCTACCAAGCAGGACAGTCTATGGTCTAATTTCCATGAAAACATTTTTTGAAGTTTCTGTAAGGTTCTACAATGCAAAATGCCATAGAGTTCCTGAAACACCTTAAACACCTTATATCAGCTTACATTTAGAATCCTAAGGACTCTTATCAGTGACTGTACAGTTATATTACTGCCAAAGGGAAAAATCAAGTCTACATCCTCGGTTCAAAGGTCAAAAATGGTATATTATCAATTATCCTTAGACAATTATCTAATGTAAGTTTTGCACCCTAAAAACTGGTCATAGAACACCTTCAGGAAACAGGACATGAATGATAGTAAAATTCGGGATATACTATGCCAAATGCAAATATATATTTCGCATTATAGTTGGCTTTGAAACAGGATAAATGAAATTTACATGAATACTTAAGTACAAATAGTTTACAAAGTTGATGAATCACAGTCAGCATTGTGCAATCCACCACTGTCTATGAAAATCTATACACAAATCAACCAAAACTTTATAGAAGCGTCTTGTGATTTTTTTAACATTCAAAGGTAGAGACACTAAATTAATAAAAATAATGGGTAAATATAAAAGTAAATATAAAATATTTGCTGCATCAGAAAATATTTAAGTTTCCTTAGATTTAAAAGTGAGAGACAAGTTTTCCAAATCTATACTACATTACAATTTTATTTCCATTAAAATTCCTAGACTTAAGAGTTACATACTTTGTCAGCATCCCGCTACTATAAAACTGCTTAACTGGACCATCAAGAACATCAATTTGAAGATTTATTTATTTGTTTGTTTATTTATTTTATGTGTACATGTGTTTACCTGCCTGAGTTTATGTGCACCACATGAGTGTAGGAGCCTGTGGAGGTCAGAAAGGGTATTAGATTCCCTGGAAATAGAGTCACAGGTAGTTGTGAGCCACCATGTGAGTACCTGGAACTAAACGTGGGTCCTCTGCAAGAAAAGCAAGTACTTTTAAACACTGAGCCATCTCTCCAGCCCCTTCAGGTTAAATCTGACATTTGTAAAAACAAATTTGTGTTTTTTTTCAGATCCATAGTACTACTATGTGAAAATTATGATTTTCATATCAATATCTGGCTTCCCTAGACATCCGCCATCTTATAAAGCCTGTAAAAATAACCACCACTGTGATCTTTCTCTGCTGGAAAGCTTGTGAAAATTCAGATTCTCACTGGTAGTTCTGCTGTCTTTGAGCTTTAAAATTAAAAGGCAACTAGGAACTTCACTGCCTTCAAGACATATAAACTGTCTTCCAAGAACATTAGCTGAAAAGCACAGTTACATAATAGGCTACACTCTGTGAGTATAACCATGACTGATTTAGAAAACATATGAAACATTTATGTCATTTTACCTTTGGCAGAGGGCTTTGCTATGCTTGAATTTGATGTTTTTACAAGCTCTGTATATTGGATTGGCCAGCACTTACAATTAAGAGTTTGCGTACCTAGATAACTGACTTTTCCACTATAAACCCTAATCGATCTCAGACTAAATTAGGCTGTGTTTTCTGACCTGAAACACTGAATATTTCTTAGGTTTCCTAATATCAGGAACTAAAGTGTTAAGGCAGTCTATGATTTCATTCATATTGGTTTTCCAGCTAGAAAGAGATTTATTCTCAGTGAATATTGTAGGTTATAGGTTATTTAAAGTAGCTCAGAAAAGGGAAAAAAAAAACTGTTTCTTTATCCAGCATATAAAGTGCTAAACAATAAACATTAATGAATCCCTACATCAAGAATGTTAGCTAAAAGGTACATGCCTATGATCCCAGCATCCCATGTTACATAGATACTCAGATGTTGGCAGGTTTGAAGGTCATTGGGAATAGATTTCTATCTCATAATCAGCAGCTTGTAAAACCAAGAACTAAAATTGGAGGACTTTGCTGGTCAAAATAATGAGATCTGAGTTCTATTTCTGGTCCCACATGGAGACATAACATTCTCAACTGTCCAAAAAATGCAGTCAGGCATGGTGGTATACTTCTTTAATTCCAGCACTTAGGAGGCAGAGACAGGTGGATCTCTTTGAGTTTCAGACTAGTCTGGTCTACAAAATGAATTCAAGGCCAGCCAGTGCTACATGGTAAGACCTTGTCTCAAGAAAAAAAAAAAAAAAAAAAAGTAATCCAAATGGGACTGTGAATCACCTGAACAGGAAAACACCCCTCAAAAAGCCATGAGTTCTAAGAACTTTGAAAAAGAATATAAAGCCTACCTAACAATGCTGGTTGGCACAATGATACCTTTGGTCACAGTCTACTACTGCCCTTTCATCCACAATAGAACCTCTGGCTTCTCCCCACATTCATTTCTTCAGAACACCCCACTTTTCTCTGTAATAAACTGTGATGCTTCCATACTACACTTTGTCTTGTCTGAATTAATTCAGCAGAGATCACAAGAACTGGGAAGCCAACAAGACAAGAGTCCAGAGTGAGATCCCAAGAGGATCAGTAAGTGGAGTTCAAAGCAAGCCTGGCTGAAAAGCAAGTTTGAGGCCTCATCTACATGAGATGCTGTCAGAAAAGAGAAGGAAACTTAACTATAAAAGGAGGACTCGGCTAGCGTCACATCAGCCTTTCCCAAGCTAGTTTCTCATGTAATATATGGAGGCTGAAGTTGCATTTCTTACAGTCACTGCACCAAACTTCGATCAAATGGATCTGAAGTACTATATACTCAATACCCAACGCTAGTACAGATAAGCATCAAGAAAGCTCACTCATTCCTGTTAGGAATGAAACACAATAAAGTCACCATGAAAGATGGAATTTACAAAGATAAACACAGGCAAGGCATATAACTTAGCAACCATGATCCCAAGTATTTACCCAAATGAGCTTCTTGAAAACTTAAGCGCATATAAAACCTGCAAATGCTAATAGCAGCTCCACACATAGATGCCGAAATCTGAAGTCACCAAGATATTTTTCAATATGGGAGTAGAAAAAGAACTGGTATAAACATGCAATATTTATCAGTAACATATAAAATTGAAAAATAAAAGTTATATATTGCATGAATCCTACTCTGTGACATCTGAAGAATGAAAAACTAGAGAAAGATCAATGGCAGTCATGGGTTCAGCAGAGAGGGGGTGAGAATGGGGGACAATGACTAGGTGGAACATACAGTGTAGACACATGACAGCACATGATTATGAACCACAGACCATGAAACACAAACAGTAAACCCTAATGTAAATTCCTAAATACAGGCTTATGGATAGTACTGGGTATCACACAAAAGCAAAGATGCTCTGATGAAGGTCCATCCTCCAGGCTTAACCTAAGGATATCCATCACAGAGCAGACACTGCTATGATGATTTACAGAATAACTTGGCTTCACAAGTCATGGCAACAAAACATACAAAAGTATATAATGACAGCTACATCCATGGTTAATGAGACAAAAGCATACAATGACAGCCAATTTCCATGGTAAAAAGACAGAAGTGTACAAGAATAGCCATGTCCACGGTAATGGTAATGCAGCTCTTAACACAGAAGAAGATGGAGGGACATCAGACCCTCAGCTGATAGTCTACCTTCCATTCCCTCCTGCCCTCCACAGCCTTTTGAATACTGTTTAAAGGAGGCAGAAAATTAACTCAAGGCAAGACACTAGAGATACAACTTTTGTGAGCCATCAGCCGTGGGAGGGGAGAACTTTTCAACAATGTAACATTCACAAGCATTGTCACCCAAACTCTACATAACCACCCAAATCACACTGGTTTACCATGCTGGATTTGGAGGGAATTGTTTCTTTGATGTCAGTGGCCTATCTGTGGTGAATAGATGCTTATTCAGATCTCCCCAGGAAAAGTCATACAACAGATGCAAACTGGAGAAAATTGCTTGTATGGAAGGATGGAGGACTAAACAAACTTTGAACAGTTTTCCTATGAAACAAAACCTACTCTGAAAGTAAATTCCATAGAAAAATAAGATCAGCTATCCTCTTGAATTTACGCAAAACTTAATGTGGAAAAGTAAATACACACACAAATGGCATTTTCTTCAGAATATATTCATGACATTTCTGTTAACTCTGAGAGAAAAGAGTAACATAAATGACCTTAACATTAAAAATAAATTTTGAATTGCTTACCTGTCCTGTGACTGTTCTTCATACATTCTCTCCTTGCCTTCTTTAAAAAGTCTTATTGCACGTTTTGACTTTTTCATCAGACTGTCAATGTAGATTTTAAAATACTCATTCTCGCTCAGTTGGGCAAGTTTCTGGTTGTCATCATATTTACTCAATATAAGCCGCAAATGCTGATATGTATCAGGTAAAATATCAAGTATATATGGTGGGCTGTTTTTCAACTGAAGTTTGGGATTTTGGCACAGTCTTACCTAAAAAAAACAAAAATAAAATATAAGAACCATAATAGTTCCTTTCATAGAAAAAAAAACGATAAATGAATAATAGAACCATATCCTCTTCATCTTGTATAATAGAATTCACAATCTTGAGTTACTAACTCTAGTTTACAAAACACTGGCAATTTGCCGCTTGTCTCTTCTGATAACCAAATCTTATTCTCCTATCCCACGCAGGTTTTCCTCTAGCATATCTGCAATTTCAGCTCGGAATACTTTAATTCTCTTTTCTACAATGTCCTAACATGCATAGTTTAAAAGAGCACCAGCGTCCTAAGCAAGATCAATCATCATTAGTCTTCTTTTTTAAATATATTTTATTATTTTTAGTCTATGTGTATAAGTGTATTGCCTGCATGCATGTAAGTGCACCTGTGCCGTGCAATGCCACGGAGGTCAGAAGAGGGCTTAGGATTCCCCTGGAACTGGAATTAAGGATGCTTTGTAGCCACCATGTGGGTGCTGGGACTCAAACCTGGGTCCGGTACAAGAGCAGTCAGTGCTCTTAACCACTGAGCTATCTCTCCAGCCCCAATATTCTTCTTTTTAATGAAAATAAGCAAATGGTCCTTTCTGGCTGGCAGCCAATGAACATATAATTTTTACACATTATTTTACTACAGTATATTCTGGGCTAAAGCTCTTTCATATATTTTAGTTAACATTTTGGTTTATTGTTTCCAAATCCTGAGGAGAATAAAATGAAGACTTATAACTTTAACAACTGAGTTATTAAGTAATAAATGGGTGTCAGGCTGGAACAAGTCTGTTCCCCCATAGTTGTCTACTAGGCCAATAAAAACATGTGACGTGGAAGGTTCAGTTATTCTACTAGGTGCAACCCAATCACTGGAGCATTAAGGTCAAGTGCTGTCTGCAGAACTGAAAATACTTTCTGCCAGAAAAGAAAAAAGTGATCATTCAACTATGTAGTTTGCTCATTACTAGACATCAATGCAATTTAGCCATAAGTAAGTAAGACCAATTCATTCTGCCCCTGTAACTATTCATTGGGAATAGTTATTTCATTGGGAATCCTCCAGTGAAATAATTTACCTTTTTAATCTTTGGGAAATTCACAAGAGCATACATAAGGGAGCAGCAGAATGGCCCTCTTATGAGGGCTCAGTGTCCATCCACAACAGGATTTACTGAGAGTCAAGCATAAGCCTCTGAGTCTTTCAGTTATGTGGCCGTTATCTAAAGCCCTCCTCCTGGTTATGGTTTGTCTGTTGCTTTTTTCTTTTTTTTGTTTGGGGGGGGTTGTTTCTATAAAAGATTTAAGAGCAAGGCATTTTAAACATAGTAACTTAACAATTCAATTCGGTCATTTTCCTTCCTGTGATGCTTAACCACCTGCTGGGTGGCACTGGAGTGGCCAAGGGCACGTATGAAACCAGGATAATACGAAGTTGTGTTTGAGAGACATTTGGTACAGGTTTAGGGTGCACTACATGTGAACATGCAATCATTTCCACAAATAGCTAATTTAATGTGAGCAGTCTGAAATAAGTCAGAGAGAAAACAATTATGATCTCAATATATACAGAATCTAAAAATGAAACACGTTATGATCTCAATATATACGGAATCTAAAAATGAGAACCAAAGTAAACTAGTGGTTATTGGGGGCGGGATTAGGTAAAAGGGCACACTCAGAAGTCAAGGATGATAAACAAGTCTAGCGATCTAAAGCACAGAAGAGGGGCCAAAGTCAACAATATCCTCATATCCTCTTGTAAGTTTAAAAACTGTTAGAAGAAAACATTGGGAAAAACCTATAAGATATAGGTATATGAAAGGATTTTCTAAACCAGACATCAACTGCTCAAGAAACAAGGGCAAGATTTAACAAACAGACCCCATTAAACTAAAAAGCTTCTGTGCATAAAAGGAGGCAACCAGGGAAGCGATAGGAAAACCCACTGAATGGGAGAAAATCTTTACCAGCGACACATCCAACAGAGGTTTAATATCCAGAATATATAATGAACTCAAAAACACAGAGAATTAAGACAAGAAGCAACCCAATTAAAAGATGGGCTAAGGAGTTGAACAGCGTTCTCAAAAGAAGAAGTAAAGGAAAATGCAAATTAAAACCACTTTAAGATTTCACCTTACCCCAGTCAGACAGGCTGAGATCAAGAGAACAAATGATACCAAATGTTGGAGACGATGTGGGGGAAGGGGAACACTCATCTACTGCTGGTGGGGCTGCAAACTTGTTCAACCCCTATGGAAAGCAGGGTGGAGAACTCTTAAAAAACTACAGATGAACCTACCATTTGACCCAGTTATACCACTCCTTGGCATACACCCAAAGAACTCATCCTATTACACAGACACTTGACAATAAATGTTTATTGCTGCTCTTTTCACAATAGCTAAGAGATGGAAGCAACCTCAGTATCCCTCAAGTGACGAGTGGATAATGAAAATGTGGTTCATTTATACAACGGAGTTTTAATCAGCAATAAAGAAAGATGAAATCATGAAATTTGCAGGTAAATGGATAGAACTAGAAACTGTTACATTAAGTGAAGTAACACAGACTCAGAAAAAAATCGACATATGTTTCCCTCATATGTGGATCCTAGAACCAAACCCTGATAAGAGTAGATATCCAGACATAACTACAGGAACCAGGATAATGGAGAGGAAACAGGGAGGTAAAGGAAAATAAAGAACCTGAAAGAGAAGAAAAGTAGGAAATAGTCCTTAATAAGGGCGACATGGATAAAAATTGGGTTATTTTAAGGGAGGGGGAGGGATGGGTATACAGAGGCACCTTAAGTGGGAAAACCATGATGGAGGGGTGAGACAATGTGAGAGACAAACAATACCTAGCTAGTTTTGAAAAACAGAGAGAACCATATTACTCCTACAACCTACTGACAAATTACACATAGCAGATCAAGAAATACATGTCTAGGTAAGGTTTATCTGAGAACAATTGGTCTTTGCCCAAGATTTATCTACATGACACAGTAATTAAAAGTACCTTCTTGGATGTTTAACAGACATACTTTGAGGCCTATACTAATTTGGTCAGAGGGACATAAAGGACAGTTTTTGCTCTTTGCCCTCCTAGGCTGATTAGTTCCAGAGGACTATGAGCATCTCTCAAAATGTCCTGTAATTGTGGTGGGTCACCTGTCCTCTTGATCAAGGATGTCGAGGAGACCACACCAAGTGGACTTGAACCAGTGTCCAGTCTATAAATGGGAGGGTCAACACAGAGGAATCACTTCCTCCATGCTTCCAAGTGAAGCCAACCATGGCGGAGCAGGACCTTTGACTTAGCTTCACGTAGGTGGAACTGGTAAAAGAAAGGAGCCAGGGGCTCCTCCCAAGTCCATGTGACCCAAGGAACAGACCCTCAAACGACCTTAAGAGTAAAAATAAATTGGTTTATCTGGGCCAACTGTATGGCCTTAAATATCCAAAAGGAAAGTATAACCAAAGATTAAAGGGGGCAATATAATTTCATAAGCATCCATACGCAAAGCTAAAGGCTACATAACAAGCAACAATGCCAGATAGGAGATACCTTCTTTTGAATTGTTGGCCAGGGTGACCAAAAGGGACTCCCAAATAGTAACCCAGCAGAGAACTGGGAAAATGAACAGCAGACCCTAATCTTATCTAAATGAAAGGAAAAAATAGAAAATTTAAGTTCCTCCTTAAAATTATGTTGAAAATAAGTATCAAAACAAAGACCTAAAGATAGGCTGACTAGATTCACCAGATGGACAGGTACTAGGGAAGGGCTAAGGTGCCAACAACACAGCAGACAGTAGCAGAGATATCAGAGTATAAGGGCTCTAGTGGGGGGAGGAAGGCTATGGAAGGGTGCCATCTGGGAAGTGGGTGTATAGTCGAATAAGATTGTTTGGGATGGTCTGTGTGATATACACACACACACACAAAAAAAAAAAAATTAACAAACTTTTAAAAATGTATTATATTTGAGGAGGAAGCATTTACCTTTATGTCATGCTAATTAGTAGAGGTGATAAAAATTACCACTGAAATCTACTCAATGACTTCATAGACACACACAGGCACCAAGGATCCAAGTGCAATTGATTATGACTAGTAATAATCAGATGCATACAGATTAGAGTTGCATGCACCAACATCTCAGTGCTAGTAGCAAAAACAATGAGTCTTTCTGCAAGGAACAATATATTCTAAAATGAAACGGAGATCTTTTTAAAGGTTAAAAAATTCATTCAATTTTACGTCTTACAGGGCTTATACTAACTCAACTGTGAACCTAGAAACTTGCACCCACTTGTGAAAGACATGTACTCTTGCTCTGGAGTGTGTTACTGAATATGTTAAATCTGTAGTGAAATGCTTCTTCTAATCATGTAGTTATTAAAAATTAAAAAAATAAAGATAAAAAAATTATTAGTAGATGTGAAAAATATTACCATTAAAATCTACCGGATGACTTTATATCCATGCTCATATGCCAAGGAGCTCAGAAAGTAACCATCTGTCACTAGCAATAATCAGATATATAGATTAGAAATGCATGTGCAAACATCTTAATGTCAATTGCATTGAAAATGAATTTTTCTGTATGAAACTGTGTATTTTAATAATGAAATGGAGATCTTTTTTAAAGGTTAAAACTTCATTTAACTTTATGTTGTATGGGGTTTATACTGAATACAATACTGTATAACTGTAATATTTCAACTGTAAACCTAAAAATTTACAGCCAAAATAATAATAATAATCCTTCAAAGCATAAAATTTGCTCCTTAATAATTAGTAGATGTGAAAAACATTACTACTGAAATCTACCTGATGACTTTATATCCATGCTTAGATGCCAAGGAGCTCAGAAAGTAACCAACTGTGACTAGTAATAATCAGATGGATAGAGATTAGAAACACATGTGTAAACATTGTAGTGTTAATTGCATTGAAAATGAAATTTTCTGTATGAAACTGTGTAT